CATAACGGAGAGTTCTAAAAAAAAACTTTCAACGTACCACAATAGTACCTTCTGGGTGGTGTGGAAATTTACTGATAAATATGTAACTAATGCTCAAAAATTAAGATCAAAAACTCTTCTTTCTCAGGTAATTCTGGGCACTAACCTCTCCCCACTAACAGATGAAATTTAAAGACTCTCCTTTAAAGAAAGAACAGTAAGGGGCTTGCGCGTGGAGTGCTATACACATCCAAACGCGCAATATATATAAATATGTATGTATCTAAAATAAAGAATTAAGAGAGATTACTTTGAAGATATTTATATATGTTTTTGAAAAGTGAGGTGTCTTTTCAATATGGATTATATGTTTCGTAGAGTGTATGTGTAACATTCCTAATATTAATCTTTTTGGTTATTTGGTTTCTGGTCTAGAACTTTGATTTCACAGAAATTAAAACTATAGTTAAAGTTTATTATGTATGAAGCGACGACAAGTTCATCTTTCTTCGTACTTTTATGTTAATTTTGGCGTTTTTGTAATGCTCTCTTTGTCTCACCTTTATATGATTCAGAGCAAGAATCGCAAGCGAATATGTTATACGATGTTAGTTTGGTTGAGCTTATTAATTTAATCCTTCGTAACAATAATGAAACTATCCAATTTATTTTGAAAAAGAGGTTTTAATTTTATATTTTATTTTTCCAAAGTTATTGAACAACATTTAAAAAATAATGGGCTTTTAGGAGTAGAAATTTACATTTTCGAACGTAGATTGTCATTTAGTAAGTTGTTATTAGTATTAGTATTTTGTATTGAATAAAGTTTTTACTTCATGTACTTTTTTTATTAAATGTTCAGTAAAGTAATTATCGTGTTAACTTATTTTAGCCGTAAGAATATTCTTCCTGTGGTACGTTGTAACAGGAAAAAAATAGCTCGATCAACTTAACCGTATACCGCACTAACTTTGAGAGATTGCGGGTGGTTTGGATTACAATAATAGTCTTTTATATTCAGAATGATCATTAAACACTTTCAATTGAGGATTGTAAATAATTTAGGCTAATTTGCGTGTAGGAGAGTAAATCAATAAAATAATGAGTCTATGTGAAAGTGAAGGTTTATGTATTTTTGGCCACCAATAACATCTAGATATGTATATATTAAGTTGCCTTTATTTATTTTAATGATATTTATATTTTAGAACTGAGTTATTGTTAAGTTTTATTAAAGTTTTTTATTTTTTTTATTGTAAATTATTTAATGAATTCTTATTAACTATCAAAAACGCGGTATTACTGCTTAACATTACCTCTATGTTCTGTATATATGAGTTTTTATTAAGGCAATCCATTACTATTCTTTTATCTGATCGAGTAAATATAATATATTTGTTCTTACTAAGAAACACTCTTGTACATTTTTAATTGAAAATATTGAAACTTTCAAAGTTATTTAGTTTTAGTTTTTTATTATTGCAAATTCTCATGGCTTACGTAGTTTTTGTTCTTGGGTCAGTTGACCAGTCCCTACACCACACACTCACATGCACTGTTTTAAACACATCTCGTACTCAGTACCATTCTCGCACAAATCTTTCAGCACCAAAAATTTCGGCAATGTTACGATACCCACCAATGCAACAGACCTTACGATTTCCTCTCACACTAGTATTTCCTTAATTTTTCCATCCCTATGCAAAGTCAAATCGTCCCAAAAATTTTGTCACGTTACACAGGTCTAGTGCATTATCCACAGTACACCTACCTTCTTACTATTACATACTGCTACCTGGAGCTCACCCCAATCCTTGCGGTGGCTTGGTTACACGGAGGACTTCAGGCAAGTCGGCGTGATGCGTCTCTTCTTTTTCCTAGCTAGTTAATCTCTTTTACTTCTACTATGTTATTTATCAGCAGAAAGCGAAGAACAAGGAGCACAAGCAGGGCCAGCCCAAAATTATCTTAGCTTAGCATTAACTGAATGAATTCATTTTTTTCCTGTGTACAGAATTCTTATTTGTTTGTGTTACGTTTGTTCACACATTTTTTTTCCGAACTACCATTTCTTGATTTTATTTTACTATTTGTGACACAACCGATTTTTGGTTCTTTGTTAGGAATTGTAACGTTTATATTATCTTGCAACTTTTTTTCTTTAAATTTAATAACTTTTTCCATAATTTCTTTTACGTTTATTTCTAATTCAGACATTATTATAATATTATGAGTCATAATTCTGACTACTTTTATCACTAGAAAGTAAGTTTCAAATTAAAATTACTGAATTCGTTTTCGATCCTATAAGTAAAATTAAAATTTTTAGAATCAATTGTTAAAATTATATAAATTTCAACAAAATTTTCAAATCTCATTTCTGTTCTAATAATGATCACATTTCTAAAGGATACTTAATAGATGTAATCCGTATCTATACTTGATGTTTCAGATCGGAGGTGAATCCACTATACGAATGAACACATAGATATGTAAGCAATATCATCTTATTTTTTACAGTAAATATAATGCTTTATATCGTATATATATAAAGTTCTGAATAAACAGTTTTTGTCCCCTTTAACGCTTACTTTTACATTGTTTATTTCTGAAAATTTGAAAAATATTAAGTTTGATTTTAAATTAAATGCTAATAGGACAAAGTACAAACAATTTCTCCAATTAACAATGTAGATCACTGTGAAGGAATCGTTTCTATATTTGTCATTGAATCTGAAAATNAGTAGTTATTTTAAATCACACAATTTTTATTTTAAATAGAGTTTTGGGTGTTGGCACGTAAAGCATGCATGGAGGCAAATTCTCACTTGTATGCAATCATCCCTCTTTTATCTTTCCACTGATTTCTGATTTAATTTCTTATTTTTGATTCAACATAGCTAACTAAATTTCTGTTTTAAGACTTCTTTATACCGATTCTTAATTTAAAAAGAAAATTTTTTTTGTTTATGTTACTGCAAACTTATTTTCTTCTAATATGTTTCTTTCTAAGGTATTTTCTTTCTAGTTTTAGGAATGTGTATCTTATCTTGGTATAACCCATTAAGATTACTCTTTCTTCTCCAAATTCCAAATTAGGATTTCTCTTCGTTTTAATACAATCTGGGCAGGCCCAATTTGAGGGAGAAGTCAGTACATAGCTGTGTGGACCCAGATCTTATTAACGCAGCAAAGGAAAAGACTGCGTGCCTACGATCCATTGTATGTACATACTGTCATGAACAAACGATTTCTCAATAGTTATTAACGTAACAAGTGCGGAAAAGATGATTTACCGCAAGAGTCGTGATTGACTTGCACGAGTAGCTGGAGTTGACGGAAACGAGTGCCAGTTTAGCACATGAGTGCGTAGCACGAGTGTAATCACACGGCACGAGTTACTGTCACCAGCCACAAGTGCGAGTCTATCACACGAGTTCGGGAAGTCGTCGCGCACGAGTGGCGTACAAGTTTTTTCCGCCCCTGGGTGGTTTTACGAGGCTGGTACTTCCTCGGGCAAAAAAGCAGTTTTCCGATACTCGTTCGAAAAGTCTCCTTTACGAACCTCGTTACGGACCTCGCTTTCGGCTCGGGCCGCAAACCTCTCGGTTTGCAAACAAAAACTTTTCAAACTCATAGGAAATAGTCGTAACGAGGTTCGTAAAGGAGACTTTTCGAACGAGTATCGGAAAACTGTTTTTGCCCGAGGAAGTACCAGCCTCCCAAAACCACCCAAGGACGAAAAGAATTGTTTTTCCTATTTATGTTGGATTACTTTTGTTGTTTATCTTGCCATTAACATAAGTAAATATTCATGTTTCCATTGTCTGTATGCCATGATTTATGCTCAGCAAGTCAACATGGTACAGTATCATATTTTGGCTTCTGTTTAGCCTACAATGGATTTTTTCAATACTACTGGCGTTATCAAATGCATGAAACCAACGTCTGATGGTAATACTGTTATATTTTTGCAGTTATTCAAAAACAAAAGCAATGTTTTAGCCGTTTGAACAACATCCTGGCCCTAATTAGGTATACAAGATTTTGATTCTTACAAAAGAGATATAAAATCGTAATGTAAAATCACTCCATTTTAATTTCAGAACCCTTTCGTAAAAGTCAAAGCTGTTTGTACCTACCTGAATCAGGACGTTGTTCGAGCGGCTCAAAAATTGTTTTTGTATTTGAATTAAAACAAAAATACGAAAGTACCACCACTAGCGTTGTTTTTTTTTATTCACTGTCATTGGCCAACTTATTTGCTTACCAAGAAATGAATTTCATCAAGAAATTTTTTCTTATAAATTTACAAAATAATGAACAAAAAAAAATTGGCTGCTGTTAGCAATACAAAAAATTATAGTAAGAACTGTTAAAATTTAACTTACTAGAAATAATGATACTTGTTAATGTTTATTGTTAAGTCAACTTCTTTCCTTGTATTTTGATGTTTTTTAATTAAGTTATAGGACTTACAGGGTTAAAACAATTTGGTTATTGTCGTGAGAGATTTAAAAAATAGCTTGCGTTATACATACTTGTGGATGTAATGTATTTAAATTTTATGTTAACATAACTGAGCAGAGAACACGGAAACTTACGTAAGCTGCACAGCTTATATATTCTTGGTATTTGAAGTACTAAGGTAACTTAAATAGTTTTTGTGTCATGTAAGGTCATATATTTAGTACCACCAAAAACATTTGTTCATAGTGAGAAATAATCTTATTGACGCACAACTAAACAACAAAAACATCAAAGCACAGAAACAAAGGTACAATTTTTTTGACTTACACAATTTGTCAATTTGTGAATTACAAGTGCCCACTTCACAGACGGAAAATAGTATGTCTATTATTAAAAGCAGCCGTACAGTAAGAAAGTATAACTGAACTTTAGCAAACTAAAAAATAACTAGAATACAAATGCGGAAACACAAAGCTAGCAGTTGGAAATAATAAATTTTTGAAAGAAAATTGAAAAAAAACAGTGATCAAAAAAATCAAACAAAATCTTACCTTGTTCGTGAGCATCACCATCACCAGTAAATATTTTATACTGTGATAAAGTTTTCATTGCTTGGCTTGTAGAACTTATTGACTGACGTAGAAAACTAGATTCTTCTACAGAGTGTGGTAATTTAGAACATGATGTTTCTGCTGGTACATTTTTTGTGTGAGCTTTTACACCCAGATCGCTAGTAAGAAGGTCCATAAGCAGCGATGGGCGTTGAGTACGTGGAAAACCTTCACTTATTTGGTTTATATCTCCTGAGTTCCTTTTCGGATAAAGCTGTACTTCATCTAAAAATTAATCAAACATGGCAATTTTACTCCTAGAAGTGATTACCCAGTAGTCAGTTTATAATTTTATAATCTTATTTCCTTACAAACATTGTGTCTCAACTATGTTTTTTTTTTCACACTTATAGTATAAAGAAACTTCAATCCAAAATTTTTATATTATTAAAAAAAAACCTTATCACGTGTTAATAACAATCAGATTAAATGCTAATAATTCTCTTCACTTTAGAATAAAAATTGCGCAAAACTTTTTAACTTGCCTTATAAACTATAAAATGTCCACACACACTTAGGGTGCCCATGGAGCGTAATGGAGCGTGCAGGATAGAATTGTTTCCATAAACTAATGTGTTCAGTCTATCCTGCTCTATTGCGCAGTAGGATGGACTTAACACAATTCTGTACTGCACGCTCTATGAAGCTCCATGTGACTGCAGCAATTGTATGATACAATGTATAGTAAATCAGAACATTGCGTTTGAGACACTTAAAATGGCAATGTCTAATTTGAGGGTACTCCGTGGTAAATCACTTCAACATGGCAAGGACCAAGAACTTTGTTGAGCTGTCGGGAACTGCTGTTGGCATTCTCCAACGCCACGAGGCTCGGGTTAAGGAGACTGAAGAGCCAGTGAGTGGCGTGGCCAATTAGAGAAGGAAGTGAGGACGAAGGGAAGAAACTACAAGCCCATAATTAACCTCAGGAATGGCCCCAAAGACAGCAAGAGGGCCTGGTTGTCTGCTGCGTACGGAGGCCAATGTGGCTGGTGTCATGGCTAGTGAAGAAAAATAGACAGAGGTAAAAAAAAAAAAAAAAAAAACAGAAGACAGAAAATAGGTAACAGTCCAGCCTCCAAAGGTCACTAAGGTAAGAAGTTGGAGGGACAGGTCCAAGGCACTTCTTTGTTAAGCCATCAGATGGCAAAAAGTATTTTAAGGTCCTCCCCCCGATAAAGAAGGTCGATGTGGCCGAGCTTGGAGCAGGCATGGGGTCAGTCAAGAAGACGAGACCTAATAGTGTCTTCATTGAACTGAAAAATACCTCGTGCAACAGCCACGATCTGTTCGCCGATCCGCTTAAAAATGCTGTGGTTGACGCCGGTGGTATGGGGACTCTTGCCCTGCGCTTGTCCTATGAGATCAGAGACAATGATCCTATGGTGACCAAACAGGACGTACAGGCCATACTAAGAGGCTGCTTCGAGAAAGAGAGGGCCCCTGATATGGCTGTATAGCTGTCAGCCAGCACTGTCAGGGGAAATCGGGTTAACTACGTTGAGGTACTGGCAATGCTGGCTAAAATCTTAGATAAAATAAATTGCATAAGGCTGAGCAGGGTGAACTACAGGATGTGGCTCAAATCTAAGGCTAAAAGCTGCTTTATATGCCTGGGTCTCGGCCACATCATCATGCAATGCGGCAGACCCGACAGAGCCGGGAAGTGCTGTAGATGTGCTTACAGGGGCCACGTAGCACGTAACTGCTCCAAAAAATAAGTGAGCTGTTACATATGTAAAAGCATGGTTCTGAATATGGACACAGAACACGTAACTGAACTGCTGGGTGTAGAGCGCTGTGAGCGTCTGCAAAAGCAGTTCAGCAAGAATGGTGGTTTTCCTGCAGATAAACCTTGATAGGACAGTTCTGGCGCACGATCTACTGGATCAGTTTTCTCACGCTTAAGGTGTAGAGTTGTTTTTTATAAACGAGCTGTCAAGCGCATTATCAGGTCAGGGATGGTACAGTGACAGAACTGGGTGTGCAGCCGTCCTGGTTTGCAGTAAAAAACTCTCCGTAACTAACAGTGGAGATAGAGACTGGTTCGTGTGGATCACGTGCGGACTTGTTACCTATATTAACTGCTATTTAACAACAATTTCCTGTCTGGTGACTTTGACTCCAAGGCCATCGCTTAAAGGGAGCCAAGAACTGACTCCAGAGGGCAGGCGGTGCAAGAGATTGCCACAAAGCTAGATATAATCGTCATTAATTCTGGTGATTCAAAATGTAAAGACAGCCTGGCAACTAAGGCATGATCATCAATTTAACGTTAGTGTCATCACAAATGGTGACACTGATGCCTAACTGGCAAGCCCTGGTGAACTATATGGACAGTTATCACCAGTGTGCTAGCTTCATACTAAACAAGGACAGTGGTGTAAGGTTGCGAGAAGTAATCCCAAGGCACGTTACTGGATGGAATGTGGCAAAACTTGATCAAAATTTTCTGCAGGAAGCAATGATAAGCACACCTCCTTCTACTGATTTAAACAAGATCACAAATCCAGAGCAGGCCACGGCACTCGTATATGGTACTGTGAGACGTCTCAAGGAATAGTGTGATGCGTGTGTGCCAAAAAGATCTGCCAGGAGAAGTAGACGTTTGTGCTACTGGTGGACACAAAAAAACGGCCGATCTTCGTGAAGGGGCACACCACCTACGGCGTCTTGCACAGTGGTACAAAACTTGCATAGACGCCTGAGTAGCTGTGGCCACATACAGGAAAACAAAAAAGGCCTTCGTGAGGGCGATCAAGGTGAGCAAGAACTGATGCTGACACAAAATTATTACCAAGGTGGATAAGTATTCGTAAGGCCTTGGCTATCAGATTGTGTTAAAAAAGACTGCGGCTCAGACCCAACGCGACCGATGGAACCTTCCTTCTTGGAGAGGGTGGTCTTTTGCCTCTTCCTAGAGCATCCCGATAAAAAACGGAAGGACATATGTGCAAACAAAGTGCTTTTTTTGACCCCGATAAATTGAGGTCAGTTTAAACCAGTTTAAACCAGATCAACCTGGTCCAGATTAGGTGCCGTCCGAAATCCTTAAAGTCATTGCTGTGGAGGAGCCACATTTTTTACTAGACATGTTTGATGCATTCTTCCGCATCATACTGTTTAGTGAACGTTGAAAGATCCAAAGGCTTTTTTTTTTGGACAAGGGAGAACCACCTCCCCTAGTCCCGTCGTCAATCCGTTCTTTAAGCATGTTGGACAATTGTGGAAAAAAACTTGAAAGGCTGAAAACAACTCGTTTAAGAGGAGAAATCAGGTTATCAAATGACCATTATAGGTTCCAATAGGGGTGTTTAATGGTCATGGCTCTGGCTGAGGTTCTTGTTGTTCAAAGTCGCCCACCCCCAAAGGGGGGTGTAGTTAAACGCAACCGCTGTCACTTCGGGAGAGCCAAGTCGTCCCTTCGTGGACAAACGATGAAGGAGGTATCGCCCTGACGTCGTAGGTGCTGTGGGTACGCTGGCTTCGTCGAAGTTTAGAGCGTTGAAGGAGGATAATGTGAGAGCCGTAATCTTTTACGCCCTAGTTGACCTTGCTGGGGTTTTCGATGTCCCCTTCAAGATCGTCCCGATATTGAGAGATTTCGGGGTCTTGGACCAAAGGCAATATATATATATATATACTTATAAGGCGTGAGAGAGAAATAGGAGGAGCGTATGGTGAGGTTTAGAGAAAGTAATAGAGTGGTTTAGTGTACAGTGATTTTTATTGAATACGTACTTTGCTACTACCACTGCTTCGTATATTTTAATTATACCAAGTGAGTGATTCATGCATTGCACGTATATGCATGATCTGAGGCGATCTCGATGGTCGTCACGCAGTCCTTCTTACATACTTTACGTTGTTTTCTTACTAGCGATGTTCACTAAAGACCAGTAGTTGCCACCTGGCGAGTGGTAGACGGTACTNTTTTTATTTATTCTGTGTATTGAATCGTTACAAGATAGAAGCAAAGAAAACTTAAAATCACGATTGTAACATCATTAGACTACTTATAAATACTTATAACTATTACATTTTGAATGAGCAGGTTAAATTACATACAATATAAAAAATATCCGATCATCGTTCAATTTTCTAATTCAGAAGTTTCTCAGTTGGTATCCATAAGTACTAAAACAGATAGTAGATCGGCATGCTACGTAGCACAATTATTAAGGTCTTCAACTACCAATTCAAAGAATGTGGGTTCAAGTCTTGGAGTCGGTAAAATTTGGAAATTTTGTTAACACATACATTTTATCTAATATATACTTATATGCTGCGTATAATGTATACATGTTCATTATGTATAATGTATAATTATGTTTATATATATAATACCAAGTGAGTGATTCATGCATTGCACGTATATGCATGATCTGAGGCGATCTCGATGGTCGTCACGCAGTCCTTCTTACATACTTTACGTTGTTTTCTTACTAGCGATGTTCACTAAAGACCAGTAGTTGCCACCTGGCGAGTGGTAGACGGTACTATTAAGTGCAAAGTTTGAAGTCGGAGCTGCGCGCGATATTTCAAAATTATGTAAAACGATCGAATTTAAAGAAAAATGGTTATGTTAATATATAATAATTATTGAAATAGTACCCCAGACGGTAACATTGTGTTGGTTAGAGATGCATGGCAACCCTCTCATAAGACGAGAAACGTCTGCGTCCTCGCGACTCCCAACGTAAAAAATGCTTTTAACTCGACAAAATGGTCCAACATAATGAGAGCCTTGAAGTCCCAGTATATATTGGACTACTTAAGAAAGATCCTACACCGTTATGTTCAGGATCAAGTACTCCGGTACGACAGGGAAGATGGATCAAAAGTAAGATGTCTGACGTTGAAGGTTGCGCACGATGGTGCCCTTGTACGACTTCTGAGATCTGGTCTATGATGAACTTCTGTGCCTTCAAATGCTTTCAGGGGTCAATCTGACAAGCTCTACTGATGGTAAGGCACTGCACGTTACAGCGAGATCCCAACATAAGACTAAGTGCGAAATACGGTAGGTGGTCACGATAGTGTCAGAGTGGGTTCGGGATCAAGGTTTTGAGCTGGTGAATGATAAGATAGAGATAGTCGTTCTCACTAGGTAGAGATGGTTCGGGGGGCACTTTCACCTGAACGTTGCCAGTGTGATAATCTGCGTGAGTCTGGTAGTGCGCTACCTAGGAGTGTGGATCGATTCCTGACTCACCTTCTGGGAA